GTGTGTGTCAGTTTCAAACCATTAAATTCAGTTTCAAACCATTAAATTCAGCTTCAATTTAGATTTATTTAAAATTTATTTTCAAATCAATGCATTTAATTTCAAATTATGCACATTCAGATTCAATCTGAGCAATTCAAATTCAGTTCCTGCTAGCAAAAGATTTATCCCACAAAAAGGTTTCCAGAAGAAATTTTTTAATTTTTCAGGATGTAAATGATGCTGCTAAAACATGTCTGAAGGCTGAGCTTTAGTTTACCTTCAGCCCAGGGAGGAAGCGTGAATCTTTCTCCACAACCAAAAGATCTGCCACGCCAGCATTAAGAATGGAGCGAGTGAGACCCCCAGGGCCAGGACCCACCTCACACACGTGGGCACCGTTCAAATTGCCAGCGCTACGCACTAGTTTGTCTGCAAACATAACAAGAGATGACTATTTTCAGCAGTCAGTCAGCACATAATATACTGCGCTTACAAACAYAATATACTCGCCAATCATACGTCTTCATCTGAGTTTGTGGCATTTAGATGGAGATTAATGCTGTTCATTTTGTAATATCTCTGTCTCATCTTGTGTGTGATGAAGATGAGACRCATTAATCTAACAGTCACCTTGCCAAAGGACGAGCGAGCAGATCAAACCTGCACTGCATCACTGATAATCATATTACTACCCAGCTCTCAGGGGCTGCAAACGAGTGAAGCGCTCCATTCACATTAGCAGCAGTTCGACCACAATCAGCCACACAGAAAAGCTTTTCAGTCTTTATGTCTTAAAATGTGGTTAGTGCAAGTACTGGACCACTTACTGCAGTCAAAAAGAAAGAAAAGGTGAGGGAGGGACAACTAACCTGTGAGATTCAGGTCCAACAGAAAGTTCTGGGAAAGCTGTTTCTCAGCTCGCAGGCGATACAGCTTTATCAGCTCGCCCACTGTGGGCAGCGGAGGCAGACGCAACGATGCCACTTTCCTTGACGCCATCATTGTGAGGATGAACACTGAGAACAACAAAAATAAACGTGATGGATCAGTCTCTACATAAATAGAATGACTGAAAAACTGATTATATCAAAAAAAAATTATATTTAACTACACATAACTTGTTCATTAGAGAGATGTTTATGTATGACCCTTTTCTGAGTCTGTAAATCTCAGCGGTTATAGGTGGTTGTATTAATCTCACACATTTCATGCAACTGATATCCTTTAAACTAATAGATTACTATTTTCTGGCAAGTATTATTAATTCCAATGAAGAGTAGAAATAATTCACCCTTAATACTGCTTCAGACACGTGACTTCAGACATGTTTTGAGGGTTTCGTGCGCCACCTAGCGGTCWTTCGCCAGAAATCCAAGTGATTAGCATAACTACACAAAATCCACAACTATTCTCAACAATTTCTTCTCTTACTGTTTTTCTAAAAGAAACCAACGCTTCATTTTTGATTTTTACACTGCTGGGTTTTATTGTCGCACTAACTAATCATTTGGGAGGACAGCAATCAACCGATAAAACAGTTTGTCAACACCTGTCCTGTCCTTTCCTCACACTGTTTGGTTAGCATTAGCGGCTAATGCTAGTTTCTCGCTTCAAATGCGAGAACGTTGTTATTCCYGTCGACACCACACTTAATGCTTCTCAAAACCCGATATAAAGCTGGCAGCTAACTGAAGCCGGATGAACACAAGAAACTAAAAATGCACAACAGTTTACCCACGCTTTTGAAGGGTGACCCGTTCTCTTCTTCTTCGTGGATTTTTTTGGCGGTTGCCATCTAACTTTAAGATGCATTAGCGCCATCTACTGTACTGGAGTGTGGGCCAGAGTGTCTATTTATTCGTGAATATAGTCCTGTCTCCTTTAAAAAAAAATTATAAAGACCTTTTTTTTTAATCTTTTCATGTTTAACTAATACCTTTTCCACTTTTAATATCTCTATATCACATTTCTTTAATTCTTGTTTTAACTTTTCTCAAGTCTTCTTATATTGTTTTACTACATTCTACTGTTTCCACGCCCTTATCGCATTCACAATTTCCTGTTGGGTGTTTGCCTAATAAATGCAATGTTTTATTCAAACCTGTATGTCCCAATCATAACCTTGTCATTATTACTTGTTCTTTTCGATTTCCTCCTATTATTTCCAACTTTCTGCTGTTTTCTAAACAAATGACGACCTTTATTACCCTCCTCACAAATCTTCTGCCATTCAGATATTATTTGTTTCTTAATAATAGATTTCATTTCAGATTTACTAAATGCAATATTCATAACTCTATCTTGTTTTAAAGGTTGTTTAGCTAAATAATCTGCCATATCATTCCCTTCTATATCTTTATGAGCAGGTACCCACATAAATCTATTATTTGTAACTATAGGAGTCTAAATATGATTTCATGTATTTCATAAACAAGTTCTATGTGACTTTCAGGTGAGAAATTGGCAATAGACATTAATGATGACAATGAATCTGAACATATGAGTACTCTTCTTATTTTATTTTGTTCTAACCACTGTAATGCCATCAGAATTGCTAACATTTCTACTGTGTATACTGCTAAATGATCAGATGTTCTTTGTTTCATATGTATGTTCATATGAACTACACAAGCAAATCCTGTTTTACCTGAAACTACTTCCTTTGACCCACCCGTAAATATAATAATGAAGGATTTATATATACTCTTTATTCTATTATTTACTCATTTTATCCAGTCATTACTTTTATTAATCTGCATTTCTTGACCCGTTCTCCTCCAACATACTTCCTTATACGTCATAGCATAGCTATCCAATGAGATTACAAAAAAATGTTTTAACCAATCAAAAGTAAGGTAGGAGCGCTTTGGTTCGTCCTCGAGATTGCGGTTACTGTTCATGCAATTCTGCATAGTAGCCAGCAGGAGGCAACATTTCCCTCAACAATTTAACAAGTAAACTGCAAATTAAACCTGACAAAGCATCTATGTGTAAGATAATTACAAACATATTTAATAGAAAATCTAATATTTTAAAAGGGCAAGAAAAAAAGTGCACTGTTGATATAATGTCACACTTGTTAAAATCACTCCACATAAAAACAAATAATTAATTAAGCTGGCTGACGCACAGCTGTTGTTTGGATTGAACCCAACAGCTGTGTAGACTCCCGCCTCTGCCCACGACCCACGCTGGGTCACAGGCCTCTAAGCTTCATTTGGAAATACCCATTGCCTTCAGTGTTTGCCACATGACTGGCACTCTGTGCCTTTCTGTGGCTGACCTTGGAACACAGACTCAGAATCTAAAGCGGGGAGACAGAAAACACTTGAGATGGATGGGTGTCTGCTGCCATGGAAACTAACCAAAAACTGATCATGCATCACAATCAAAGATAATATATATATATATATATATATAAAATAGCATGACTATGCTTCAATTAAAAAAGACCCTTTAAAACGAAACAAAATGTTGGTGTTGCTTGCCTTTATCTCCATAATATGTCACTAAAAAGACAGGAAATTACTTTAAAGTAAAAGTAAGTAAAAAGACAGGAAATGAGAAATAGGTAATTAACATTTCTGACATGGTAAGTCAGCTCTTATACAGAGAGATCRGAGGAAAAGCAAACACAAAAATACTTAAAGCCATCTAATTTTTGAGCCAATTTAGATTGCAGAAACAGACATCAATAAACACAAAAACCACTAGAGACAAAATGCCCCAAAACTCCTGCTATGATCATAATTAACTGTTGAGTCATTTTATTTTCTCTGTGTTGTTGATGATGCAACGTGCTCAGCAGTGTTTAATCCTCTCAAATGAAACCAGATGTATGTGATTATGAAAGTACTGTTTACTATGGCAACTCTGAACTGTACATTTTTACCACTTCCTTCTTSTTATTATAAATAAAAGAGGAGTTTGGGGGGAAATTKCAGCGCAAACGTTATGATTAAGATGCGTGCTATTACATTGTTACATAAGCATCCAATTTTCTTTTGTTCTGGTACCAAAAAAAACCTCTTGAAGTGGACACAACGGTGATCTGTTATAATAAATGCAGATTAAAAGCCAATATATTCACATTAAATCTGTTTTTTTCTCATCTTTGGAGTTTTTTGAGGAGTTGAAGTTAAAGTTGTATAAAGCCCTTTGGATTGGAAGGCAAAAAAATGCACATTTATCATTTTTTGGACAGGACAGCATTTACGTGTTTGGAAATCTGAACCCCATTTTACTCGTCTGACAACCTTTAGAAACATCTTAGAGTTTAGGACCACATGAGGGAAGCTGTGGTCCTTCAGCACTGAAATTCCTGTGGCGATGCTTGTGTTCCGGTGATACATGTTTTGTGGTATTTTCATGGTTGTCTGGGATTTGTTAGTCTTTTTTAAAGATAATTTACTGTAAGTTGTTTGGTGTGTGGTGAAACTGTTTGTGAAACGGACTGTAGTTTCTTATTGCTAAACACTGAAGAAAAACTAATGTTTGGRGGATTTTCAAGATAAACTAAAACCAAATTGTTAAAAAGGCCAAAATATATCATAACAGGTCGCAGTGATGCTGAAGTAAGAATTGWTATTAAAACCAACTAGTTCAGTACCAAACAAGTATTTGTAATTAGCTCAATTCAACAGCCATAAAAGCCACAAAATCACCATTAGTGCACAAAACACAGTATAAAAACCATCTGGTCAGTTCAGGAGACACACCCATTGAATTTAAATCACATCTAGATTGAAAGAAATGATTATATTGTAACATCTTTTTGAAGTTTGGTGAAACTGTGTCATCGTCCTGTCACTCACCTGTCCTTCGACCAAGAGCTATGATGGGAGATGCAGTTCCATGTCCAAACACAGGTGGCGGTAATGAGTCAAACAGGAAAGTCCAGCAGGAATCAAGCTTATCCTGCAGAAAAACATCTTTCCTCTGCAAAGATGTGTAGAAAAAAAATGTGTTTTTCAAAATGGCATGTCTGAATAAAACAGGAATCCACTGGATGTCTTCTCAAAATGTTATTCTCAATCTTCTGACTCYAATCTGGTTCACAGTACAGCACTCAGCACAGGCTTCAGCGTAAGACCTTGAGCTAAAAACTTAAACAAAACAGTCCAGCAGGCTGAATCTAAGCAGAGACTCCAAAACTAACAACTTCTTTCTCCTATAATAATAATGAATTGACCTTATAGAGTATTTCTCTTCCTGGTTACACCCCTGAAGGTGGCAACTTTTACATCTTTTGTTAGGCTAAAAGAAAGAACACATGATATAACACACACCAACTCTTTTTCTGATTTAACCTTACAATGATCAGAAAGTATAAAACACAATACAATTTAACATTCAATTAATCATTTACAAAATTTCCTTCAGGTGGATAGTAACTATTTACTTTGTTACAGTACTTACGTAATTTTTTTGAGAATTTGTGATTTTTATCAATTTTTTATTGTAACATTTACTTTTATTCATGCGTTCAAAACATAAAAATATTACTTTTACTTATTTACTTTAACACCTAGTTACAAGTTAAACATTTAAACATGACTGGAACTGATCATAAAAAGAGTCGATTATGCTAAAAAATAGTGTTGAATTATGCAACACGAATTTCAAGTTACGTCAACTGGTTCCACTAAACTGAGGTGAGTAAATATAAAGCAATTTACACATTTTCCATGAAAGAAACAACCGTGAGTAAACATTTTACTTTTAATAGTATTTTTTTCTTATTTATTAGTTGTAAACGCTTTCAGTGTTTATGAGAGGATTTGTTAAAATGCTGTTTCTATGCAGGAAATACCACGTAGAGCTCATTGTTTGTTAGCAATGCTCAGCAGCAGCAATGAGAGGAGGAACAAGAAATGTTTAAATTATTTACAAATGATTCTTTAAGGAAAACCTTAACGCTCATGTGGCCTTCAGTGAAAATCACTTTGACAGTTAAACAAAATTCTGTCCATTTAGAGCCTTATAAGTCATCAATAAAACTTTAAAATCATTTCTTAAACAAACAAACATAAAAGATTTGGAGTTCTACCAAAGAACCTTGGAAAATTACCCTGTTTGAACACATCAACCATCTCTTGCTATCACTTATTAGAATTTTCTGGAAAAAACTCTAATGTGTGAGCCTGACAGACTCAGCAAAATTGAATAAATTGAATTTTTTTCCCCCTCTGGCCTTTAAAAAAATAACTCCTCCATTTCATCACARCAGCCAGCCAGGAACTTAACGTTCCACGTTCTCAGTCTCATCTAATCTCACTCTGTTTGAGCTTCTCTTGAGCATCTTTCAGCGCAGCCCAAATCGTAAACGACCCCGGAGAGCTGAGGCGATGTCTGAGGAGAAAGAGTGAAAGTGAACCCGGAGCTGCTGAGGCGTTCTGTCATTACATCAGCCGTGAGAAGTGTGTGAAAAGTTAGAGCATAAAAGGGTTTATTTATCCAGAAATCTTGTTAGATTGTATTCACTAACGTCCAGTAAGCGTTTTGACAGTTGACTACAGAACTGGCTGTTTGCTGCATCGATCTCGCCGTCGGTCGGATCGCACAGTGTGGGAACGGTGGCGTCTTCAACCGCCGCTCCTCCAAAATGATTCATGGTGCCTGCAGCTCAGCCAGGACCACCGTCCTGTGGGCATTCAGCATGCAGATAAAAATCAAAACAATCTTCTTCACTGAAWCCCGCTTCATTGTGTCATTCTGGGTGTGGGAATTATGGCGTTCAATCAACACAGCCTCCACATGACCTCACTTTGGATACATCTTCCTCTTCRATCCCACATGTTTGAGGATGACTTCATATGTGGGGAGGGAAAGCACCTGGCGAACAAATGTGCTTTGTCTCTTTTTTATGAGTTTTCTTTGTTTTGTTTCACAGTGAGGGTCATATACGAGGGTGGTAGTGCTTTAAAATTCACTTTGAGGTATTTTCAAAAACATCTTGGACTGCTTGGACCTAAAGAAATGAAAGGGAAAATAAGTGAAAAAACAAGAATTRGGGAATAATTGTCCATCTGATTGACTGATTGTCTTCGAACCAAACATTACATCAGCACCACACCTACATGATTCAGCCCYGATTTGATTGGAACAAATGGACTCTTCTGTCCACCGGGGAGCTGACCTTTGCTTTGACTTCTGCATTGTGTCATTCTGTGCATGCAGCCTTTCTCTCCGGTCACCATGCAGACTTTGGTCCACTCCCTTCACTTCTTGTTTATTGTAACTGCACCACAAAAATCCTCAAACTGCAAATTATAAAGTCACTCAGTGCGTATAAGGAAAAGAAAAGAGTCAGTGATTGTTTATGAGCTAAAGACGATAAACATTAACAAGCAGCAGATAAGACACATCAGATCAGGAACAAAGGGATTTTATTAGTTTTTTTATTGCTTCAGCACGTGTTGATTACAGCAAAATGTAGTTTGGATTTAATTCTGATGAAGCCCCCTCCCACCCCAGGTTTGATAGTCTCGCTTTAAAGGGAACATTTCATGTAAAATCAGTGTTTATATCCATTAAATTAATTTTGTTGAAAGGACAAGTCTTTTGTTGTTGACATCTTTTTATTCCTGTATTACCACAATCCCCTCTATCAAACTGAAATGAACCAGTCTGGAAGCTGGAGGGGGGTGAAGTATGAAACACTTCGTTTGGGTTTAAAGAGACAGCGTCAAAACGAGTTGATCTGAGACATATTGCAGAAGGGGGGGGGCTTGTGGAGTTACAATAAGGAGGTATTTCGACAAAGTGCCGCTGCAGTTCCACTTTATAAAGACCCCCAACTGAGTGATGTAAATGTAAAAAAGATAAAAGATTTTCTCTTTTAACTTTAAAGCTTTCTTTAGAAGAACTGACAAACTTAAAGAANGCACAGACTAAAACAAAAGAGGGCCACTGCATAGCTTAATCTTTAAAAATAAAGGACTTTACTTAAAAAAGTGTTTGTATTTCATGTATTATATAACTGCATTTGGCCCGCAGCCATGGATAGATTTTAATTTTTGGCCCCCTCGGGGAAAATGTTTGGGCGCCCCTGGTTTATATCCATTAAATTAATTTTGTTGAAAGGACAAGTCTTTTGTTGTTGACATCTTTTTATTCCTGTATTACCACTATGCTCTCTATCAAACTGAAATGAACCAGTCTGGAAGCTGGAGGGGGGTGAAGTGTGAAACACTTGGTTTGGGTTTAAAGAGACAGTGTCAAAACGAGTTGATTTGAGACACATTGCAGAAAGGGGGGGGGGGCTTGTGGAGTTACAATAAGGAGGTATTTCGACAAAGTGCCGCTGCAGTTCCACTTTATATAGACCCCCAACTGAGTGATGTAAATGTAAAAAAGATAAAAGATTTTCTCTTTTAACTTTAAAGCTTTCTTTAGAAGAACTGACAAACTTAAAGAAATAAGAACTGAACTTTTCGAAGTCTGTTTTAAGGAATTAAACCTGTTGTTTAAGTCAGTTGGTGGAAGCWAAACCTTTCCAGGTAAGAGGTTCATTAAGGTACCAAAGCATCTGAATGTAAAACTAGAAAACCCAGTATTTTTCTGTCATCAAAAATTGTATTATATTTACAGTTTTACTATAAAGTGTTTGCCTTAGCTTTGATGAATACTAATAAAAACGAATAAAATGAAGATTCCACTGAACGTATCAATGCACTGTCCATGCACATGGATATAAAAACTTACAAATGAAATGATCACAAAACCTGTTTTTATCAGACTGCACTTTTGTCAGATACAAGTTTGTCCCTAATAGATTTTGTTTTGTGGGGTTCCGCATTTTTTTTCTTAAAAAGTCCAGTTTGCTTGAAATAACTTGAAGATCATAGGATACACTTTGTTTTTGGTGGACCKGAAAACAAGTTTAAATTAGGAGTGAAGCGAGTTTTAGTGTGTTTATGTAACAGTTTCCTTGGGGCAAAGTAAACCATTTATACTGATGCCCAAAATAAGATTGTTTTCACAAAAAAGAGAGAGAAATAGAGAGAGAGCGGAGCTGCCAGCGTGCTGCAGGCTTTAACCACACTCGGCCCTCTGAAGTCTGCAGTTTGGTGGTTTTCTCGGCCTTCTGTTTGGATCTCTGACGGCTGCTGTCACTGGACTTTCCCAGGATGACAGAATGGACTTGAATGGTTCAGCTGTCACTGAGGGTCAGCGTGAGGGGAGTTAGGTCTGCCACTGGCCGGCCAAAACATCCAGCTGCCAGCAGCAGCAGCCATTCTGGCAAAACAGGACGAGTTAAATATAGAGCTTTACTGTTCTGGGAGTCTAATCAGGAAGACAAGAGAGGAGTAAAAAAAAAAAAAACTGGCTCTGTGACAAAGGATATCACACAGCACCTCTGCCTCTCCTGTAACTTTAAAAAGAAACTTTCACACACTCATCAGCTGGCTTCTTGACGGGATAGGGAGGAAGGAAAACGAGCCGTTTGCCTCCTGAGTGAAGCGGGCAGGCTGTGGGAGTGACGGGGGGAAGGAGGGAGGGACGTTCCAACGCTCTGTTATTGCTCTCTGCCATTCCCTTTATGAACTGAAGACCAGAAACAAGAGAGAACTTGAGCTTAAGATGGATTTTATCACCTCAATTTAAACCAGAGGACACATTTCTTCACTTTTCTTCATTACTCTTTTGAAGGATAACTTGGAGTGTTAAGTGCTCAAACCTGCACCATCACAGCAGCAGGTAAGCAAAGCTCTTTTGAATCATATTTTGTTTTGTTTTGTGCTCTTAAATGAAGAAAATCACAACTTTAATCAAGAAATGAGTTTATCTAAAAGTGCTGCAACAGTTAACATCGGTTTCACGAAGCAAACTTCATCTGAGCTACAGTTTGAATCAATTCACACCAAATGAATAATCACAAACTCATTCATTATTCATATTAATAATGCACATTCCTACATTTTTTAAAGGATTTTTGCAATGATCTTGGTGAAAAGACGTCCTTTTAGAGTTAATAATGCAGCATTCAGAGAGCACGTGAAGAAAAGAGAAAGTTATGAATCAAACATTTCTCAATGACTGCATGAATGAGAGCTTTTAGTGGAAAGAATCTTCTGATTTACATGTGGGAGGAGAAGCCCACAGCTTCACCGGACAAAGTGAAAGCAGCTCGCTGATCCAGAGGACATTATCTTTGGGAATTAAATGCACTTAAGCGCGACCTTTGCCCTCCACTCAACTCCCAACACCTCTGCGGCTCGGAGTACTGTAGCCGTAACTGTACAAACACACACGCCCGCTTTAGCTCGAGCCTTGACGGGCTCGCAGAAGGAGGACATCTTTCACCCTGAATATTTTTGGGGGCTGTACAGACGCCAAAACGAATTCCATTTCATGAAGTCATCTCACGGCTCCTGGGAGTCGCTGTTTGTCAAGGCGTGACATCACCTCGTCTCAGCAAAGTGAAAAAAAGAAAATGGGAAATGTCAGGGGGGGAGGATGGCTCACGCTACAGGAAAATCAGCTTTCTGCCACCYTCTGCAGCTTACAGGGTCCCCGAAATGCTCAGAGATGAAACCAATAACTCAAGCCGGAGAAGTATTCCTCATTAACATTTCTTCTGCTTGGGCCACACAGTCGTGAACTCCTATCAGTCTGACGGCTGAGATTTGTGAACGTTTATCAGCCCCGGCGTGTAAATGAACCAGTCTTACTGTAAATCAATATTATGATCCCTGTTTAAACTGAAACAGAGCTGAGCTCAGTTTGGGTGTTCGCCAAGAAGTGGCTGATCTGAGATCTGAGGCTGAGCTCACGGTATTACAATGGCTCTGTGTCAGTTGTTGTAGAAGGTGACACAGTTCAGCTGTGAGTCGCAGACGAAACTTAAAATAAAGTTTTACGCTCCATCGAACACACCAACGTACTGTGGGACAGATGATCACTTCCTTTGGATTAAACTGGTTTCGATCAACAGGYTTTCTGAACATCTCTGAAAGGTTTTTTTTTTGGACACTTTTCTACACGGTTTATGCAGTGTTGTATAAAGTACCACAAAGTGATACTTGAGTAAAAGTACAAGAATATTATCAAAAAATTACTTTGTCAAAAGTTAAAGTCTCTTTTAGGAATGTTACTTGAGTAAAAGTCTTAAAGTATCTGATATTTTTTGTACTTAAGTAGTAAAAGTATTGATTTCAAATGAGCAGTTAGAGTTTCTGTAATGACATTTATTAGGAGGTGACCTCCCTAAAACAACACAGAAATGACTATATCATATTAAAAGAAATAATTTATGTTAAATTTAGGACACACTAGTCTAGCTGTTTCAGTTTGTATACAAAATGAAAATCTATCTGAGGGCTCCGGCCAAATGCAATAATATAATTCATGAAATACAAATACTTCTTAAGTACAGTCCTTTTATTTTAATGATTATGTCCTGCTGGAGTGTGACATGATTTGTTTGTGTACAAACTAATACGGTATCAGAATTTTTTATATTTATACTTCTCATTCAACCATAATTAAATTCACTCTAGGAGGCACAATTTATATGGATAGTATTTACTTTTTTAAATAAGCTGAAATGAAAACAAGCAAAAATGAAATAAAAGTAACRACKTTCTACTTCTTGCCTTTTTTTAAAAATGTAAGGAGTAAAAAGTATAGAAAACAGTGTGAAAATCTAAGACGTAGAAGCAATAAGTAGGCTGAAAAATAATTACGTTAAGTACAGATACCCCAAAAAATTCTACTTAAGTGCAGTAACAAAGTATTTGTACTTACTTTACAACTCTGAATTTATGGAAGCACCATAACACTTTTGTTTTTGGTATTTAATCAAAGATTCAGTGAAACTATCAGGAACAAGTGATGTCTTTTGGTATCAAAGTAATAACAAGCAACAAAACTAAAAAAATGAAAGAAAATGTTGAAAAGCCTGACGATCTGAGAACAAGAGAGTCTGGGTTATTTGAAAACTCTAATTCTGACTTCATGTGAGTCTGTGTGAACAGAAACACAACAGAGGGGGTGGAGCCGGTGGCTGTCAGTCGTGGGTGTTTTCTGGGGGTCTGCAGGGCCTCACCAGCAGCTGTCAGCGACACATGGGCTGCTCCAGTCGTATAAGTGCCTCCAGCCTTGAATTCCAAACATACAGCTTAGACACGTCGGGATGGTTCGCAGAGACGTCGCACTCSTAATTCACGTTGCCTTCGTTTAAAAATAAGTTCCTAAACTCCATGGCAACTCAAGATCTTCCCAAGATCACGTGACCACACAGTGTGTAGAAAACATGAAGCTCAGTGGCTGCACATGCTTGATGCCTCTTGATACCCTGATTTCTTGTCTTAATTGTTTCCATATTTCCACTCTCTCCTCGTTTGTTAAAATGACACAATCATGACTTAACCATGTGAGCTKTCAGACGCTCAGAGACCCTCGTTTTCCCAAAGTTCTTACTCAGAATGAGTCTGAAAAGTGTGACACATCTCTGAGGGTTACTGTTCATCGCTGCTGAAGACTGGAATTATTAACAGATTTCTTCTGAGACCGGCTCCTTCACATCTACCGTGTTATTTTAAATTCATTTGGTCCTTTTTGTCTTCGTGAAAAACGTAAACTATGAACAAACAGAACAATTTAAAAATGATCCAAATCGACACATAAAACTGAAATTTGGAGATTGAGATTGAAATGAGGAATTATCTTTTCAAACATTTAAAAAGGGAAACWCAAAAAACTTCTAGAAACAAAACGTTCTGACTTAAAGAGCAAAAGATGTTCCATAACATTACGACCACTGGAGAGCAAAAATAAAGTGACACTTGTCTCTTCTTCATCTTCATCGCCTGCAATTATGTAACTGCCTGTGTGTGTGTGTGTGTCTTTGTTTGTCTGTTAGCAAAATATTTCATGAACCATTGGATAGGTTTTAATGAAATTCTTCGGATGGCATCAACAACTGGAAATCTAACAGATTAACTTTTAAAGTCAGCTCCATTTAGGATGGCTGCCACAGCTGATTTATCTTAAACACAAAGATGACTACAACTTAATCAACTTCACAGCTACTCTTTGACTCTGAACACAAACAAGATCTTTAAAATTACACTGCAAAAAATGTCCATCTTACCAAGTTTGAAAATCTTATATCCAGCCAAAAAGTCTTTTTGATCTTGTTTTGAGACTGATTTACTTAACAAGAACTGATTGTGTAAGAATAATAATAACCTTGTTTTCAGAATGTGTAAGATTATTTGTCTTGTTTAGGGCTCGACACACGGGGAGCGACAAACTACAGCGATTAACGGCAGTCATCGCAGCCAGGGTGAAACCCGACACACGGGACGTGATAGCGATCGCAGCGTTGCGACTCGCGCTCTCAGATCACTTGTCTTCACGAAATTTGATTGGTTCTTGACTCTGAAGGCGGGTGTGCATTACGGACGTGTAAACTAAACAAATCGTGCGATGCTAATGGTATTGAAAAACAAACACACATCAAGATACAGTTTTATGAGGAAAAACCATAAACTTCACCCTGGTGCCAATAAATTCCCACAAAGCTTTTTAGTAATCCCTTGGTGAAAGTGTTAGCTAACGGCAGTGTGTAGCATACTCTCCTCTCATTGGTCAGTCAATGAAACCCTTGCTGATTGGTTGTACGCTAAGCGACAAAAGTTGAATATTTTTCAACTTTCATATGTCGCGTCGCAAGCTCGCGTGTGCACGTGTACGAGCGCGAAATTTCACATGCACTATTTTCGCCGATCGCTTGGCTGGAGGAGGGCAAGCGATTGTCGCCTCACCGCACAGGCTCCATAGGAAATGAATGGAGAGCGAGCGACGTCGCCTCCCGTGTGTCGAGCCCTTTAGCCTGAAAATTTGACTCAAATTAAGTCAAACATTTCTGCCAATGGAGTAAGAAAATTTTACTTGGCAAGATTCCTGACATTAGAAAAAATTGAAAATCTTACCAAGTAAAATTTTCTTACGCCATTGGCAGAAATGTTTGACTTAATTTGAATCAAATTTTCAGGCTAACAAGAGAAATAATCTTACACATTCTGAAAACAAGATTCTTCTTACACAATCAGTTCTTGCTTAGTAAATCAGTCTCAAAACAAGATCAAAAAGAATTTTTGGCTGGAAATAAGATTTTAAAACTTGGTTAGGTGGACAGTTTTTTGCAGTGTCACAATCGGGCTCAAGGATTGTGACAAATAAGAGGGAAGAGGACACAAGGACATCTTTTAAATATTGTATTTATTTAAATAATAAAGTAAAAATACCATTAATAAACTAAAGATGAATCCTGTAGGACAATAAATTAAGTAAACCAAACCACACTTAATTGACCAAAGTAAAYTAAAGCAATCTAAATTAACCAAAATGGACTAAATCAATACAAATTAACAAAAATACTCCAAGCCAAACAAATTCAGAAAGCCAAAGTGAGAGAAGGGAGGGTTAGGCCCAACAACACCCTCTCTGCCTCAACACAGCACCTCACTCTTTTTATAGACTGAAGAATCAGTTCAGGTGCTTCCAATCAGTGTTGCTGCTGCACTGCAAGCATTGGATCTGCCCCTGCTGCAGCAGCTGTCACCTGACAGRGTCATCACCCAGTGTCTCATCAGAGATGTTAAAATAAAAAAAATGATATGTTTTGGTCTGTGTCAGTACTAAATAAATGTAAAAGTAGAACTTTGGAACATGAAAAATAAAAAATAAAAACCTGTGCTGAAATCCAACTAAAGCAAAAAACCATGAAGTGTCTTTGGTCCAACAGCAATAACTACAGTTAATAATCCTTAGTTTGCTCATCAGAGAAACYATAACTGCTGAAGCTACAGTTGCCTCCAGTGAGAGGATCGGGTTAAAGTGACATCAGGAAATCACTACAAGATGAAACCCACCACCTGACATTTTGCTCTGATGTGACAGGTCAGCATTAGTTTGTGCTCTGAGCTATTAATGGAAGTCATCATTACAGGAAGACAAGCTGTGAAAGACTTTGAATTAGGTAGAAAATTGTTTTCAAAATGGTAAAAATGTAATAATTTAAGAGGGTTTTAGTGCTTGTATTTTTTGAGTAAAACAAATCAGTTGGACAATTATATGGTCACCATTCCTTTATTATCTGCAGGATTATTGAATTCATTTTTCATCCACAGTTACAGTTTTAACTAAAGCTGCCATTTTTTTTACTGGGTCAGAACCCAAAGCTTATTACATTTTCTCCTAAACTGACACTCAAAACATAAAACTGTCATCAGTCCCACTTTAGTCACTCATGTTTTGTTATGAAAATACACCCAAACACACTGAATTAAACTTCTTTTTCTGATGAGATGATGTTATTTTCTTTTAACAGGTACCAGACTTGTGTCTCTTCATCTCTAATGTTTCTAACATGTCAGATTATATTGTTGCACAAGTATAACATAACTTACTTTCATCCAATTTTTGGGTTATTGCATCCCAAAAATCCTTTGGGGGCACCTAAACTAATTATTAAAAAAATAAAAAAAAATTTCTTTAAACCACTGAAAGTTGTAAAGACTGACAACATTTTATATATTTTTTTGCTTTTATTGTGAAGCACTTTGTTATTTTATACTTCTGAAAAGTGTTATATAAAGAAACTTTACTTACTTACCTGCTTTAGTGTTTCTAAATCAACAGTTTCTGGTTTTTAAAAAGCAAAAATGCAGCAAATCTCAAAATGCTACTTAAAAAATACATAACTTGGTTTACTTAAACCATAAAACCATCAGTCTGCTTCGTAAATTATAATCGTTCCATCCTAACATGTAACATGTTCAATTAAAATTAATGGGCAGGTTCAATTTGAACAGAAATCCAGGTTAAGATTTTTAGAAGGTTACATACTTTTAAAAAGATTTTTAAAAGACATAAAATGTACCGCTGACTTAGTCAACTTTTACAGCTTCCTGTTTGACATKGGAAGTTCAGGACGTGCATTTGCAGAGCCTATATTTACACACACATATGTGACAGCTGAACTCAAAGCAAACCTCTTTACAGATTTAGGGTTCCATTTTAAATTTAGGTTTAGGCCTCGACTGGAGTCTTGCAGCGTTTTAGGGCCTTCTTTCATATTAGATTCCAGCCAGTCAGTTGTGCTTCGTGGTTTTAGATTACATGAATTTGAGTGGGCTTTTGCGGTGGACTTAAGAGACTCTCCTTTATATTCCATAAAGACAACTGGAAGTGTTGCACGCTAGACTGGAATGCGGGTCACGCAGCTCAGAAATCCCCATTTGTTTAAGAAGAATTCGTGAAAGCAGAGACTGCAGAGATYAGTCCTGGTCTTACTGAAACACAAACAGTCTTAAAATTCTAATCTGTGCGTAACCAAGTGGACAAAAACAAAAATTAAAACAAATTCAGCACTTCAAAATCTTTTGTTTTTGGTTTAATCTAAATTGAAAAGATTTTCTGATTAGTCGATTTTCAGCCTTTTTTTTTAATTACTTTTAGTTTTAAATTATTTCAGTGACCTATTGTGGGTTTTTATTTCTTCAGCAAAAACAGTACAAAGAGTCCAAACATTTAACCATCTGTAGGCCTTTACAGGTAAAACTCACCGCGCTGTTTTCTCTGCTGAACCTCAGTGACCCGGCAAAACGAGCCCATCTGTTACAGTAGCTTCTCTGCATCTGTCTGGCTTCTGCCCAGGAACTAAAAATAAATCAGCAAGATTCCTAATCCGCGTCAACAAACGCATTGCTCGTACTCAGGAATTCTGCTGGAGTCATTTACATTTACTGCACATGTTTTTGTGTTTCATCACCGCGGGACGCTTTAACGCCCTCCACTTCTAGGAAGTATTCAGAYGCCTTCTACAAACTGGTGCAGAACAGGACCCTGGTGACAGAGAGCCAGTGGCTGAAACTAATAGTTATGTGGAGGAATGAAGAGTCTGAAATTAATCTCCAGTTATGAACCAGATCACCTTGAAGCCAGCATGAACTAACTGAACTCGGAGAACTCAGATAAAGAGTGGATTCGACATGAAGGATACAGGCAGTGCAATAGTTTTCTTTGTGGGTATTTTTCCTGGAAGCAGGTGGAATTCAAAGAGACTGGCTTCAGGCATCATTAAACTTCACGGCCTTTTTAACTTTCCCCACAACCAYTACATCAGAGGATAAAACACTTTTCTTGATGTCAACCAAAAGCTTTCAAACCTCTCGCTTATCTGTCTAATTTCTCTTCACTTCATTGACTTTTCTTAAGAAATCTTTACATTTTGTGCAATATACTCATCACATAAAGTGACCACATTTTTTTTCCACACCTATACAAGGATTGTCAACCATATGAATAGCAAAACAGCTTTTAAAATCTACTTGTTCATAAAACTAAGAAATAAACTAAAACAAGTCTTGATAAAAGCTTTAGAAAGGCCCAAAAATATAGTTTCATTACTGTGCCCTCATAAGTCTGGGCACAGGAGCTTGCTTTTAGAAGAGATGATAAGAGTCAAAGTTCTAAAGCACAAAAATATAAATCTAATAAACAGAAGTAGCATGTAAATTAAAGAAAGTTCAACAAAAAAAAAAGTCTGGCCAAAAAAAGATATAAAACATGTGTTTTCTGTTTTTGGTCCAGGTAAGATGAGGTCCAAAAGCAGCAGGGTGGAGAGTCCAGCTGATGRGGTCCTGGTGGTTCCACCAGGTGACCATGACATCAACCAAGAGCAGGAAGCAGGTGTGCCCGTGAAGAGCCTGAAGGCCAGAGTTCAGCTGGAGGAAGGTGAGTTTGAGCCAGATGTGATCCCTGATAAAGAGAAGCTGCTGTTGGAGTCCACGGAGGCAGCTGGGGACAAACGAGGGGACCTCATGGATCTGTCCAAAGAGGACCTGCTGAAACTGCTGGGAATCATGGAAGGAGAAGTTCAGGTGTGTTCTTCTCTTCTGCGTCTCTTATGTGTGTGGAAAAACAACAACACACTTTTGAAACTGCACTGTGGATGAACATTGTGATGCACTGCAGACTTGAAACAATAGCGCCATCTTGTGGTTAAAAGCTAGTTTTAACATTATTCTTTGGTTTTACAGAAAGTTTTGAGCTGTTTTTATGTATTTATTTAAATATAGTTTACTTCATGGGAGACAGACTTATTCAAAGTTCAAAGTCACTCTTCTTATAATGCAAAAAACTATTCATTGAGCTCATTTCAMAAGATTACAAGAAAGTCTGGCTCCTTGAAAGTAGTAAATATAAAACAATTGTCAGTATTTAAAATCTTTTCAGTGCTGTATATCTGATGATAAAGTTAATGTTGAGATAATTTCTCTCATTTGAATGCTTATCCTTCTCAGAACCTAAATGTAATGTTTTCTGTATATGTTTGTGATTTCAGGCCAGGGAGGATGTTATCTACATGCTGAAATCCAAGCAGACGCCTCCRGAGGTCTTTGAGTCACAGTATGGATGTGTGGCCCCAGGCTCGGCCCTGAAAGCTCTGCAGAGGGACAGCTTCATCACTGGCACCAAGCAGTCCAACCCTAGTGTTTACCAAAAACCCATGKCTGAGGTCAGGACTGTTCGTTTTTATCAAACATAGTTTTCATGCAACTTTTTGAGGATAGTAATAATTCATTGTTCATTTCAAAGCCAAGAAAACCAACCAGACGTCCTGCACCTCATGTGCTTGTAAACTGAGCCAGATTTGTTTAAAGTGTCTTTAAACTTTGCACGTTTGTGATCGCTCCTGTGTGGTTTTGACCCTTTTTTTTTTTTGCAGCTGAAGCGTCTGCAGGAGAAGCACAGGGAGACGTACAGTCGGATGCTGGGCCAGCTGCTGCTGGCTGAGAAGTGCCACCGCCACACGGTGCACGAGCTGGAGACGGAGAAGCACAAACACGTTGATTACATGAACAAGAGCGACGACTTCACCAACCTCCTGGAGCAGGAGAGAGAAAGGTGACGAGGGGAGAAATATGGAAGTGTCGCAGAATCGTGAACTGTTGTTTGATGGATGTGTTGAGGTGGTTTAGGGAGTTAAACAAAACGTGGTAGGAGTGATGTCATGACTTAAATGGGCTTTTAGCTGCTGCTTACTGACAAGGTGTGACTGTCAGCRTCAGCTGTTTGGACGACGTGCATTTTTGTTCCTCAGACTCATTTTGAAACGAAGAATAAYAAAAGCCTCAACTTCCATTTGAAATCATCACAAACTTTAACTTTTCATATGCAGAATACAAAGTCTGGCTTACTGTTTATTTATTTACTTATTTTACACAGTGACAATGCACAACTTTTCATTAACCTTTTAAAAGGAGAGATGCGTGGTACCAGTTTAGCGCAAAAAAAGCTAATATCTACCTAGACAGTTTGATAGTAATCAATGACTACAGATAATAAATGATGAATAGATAAAAATTAATTATGGTAAGATCTAGAGGTTAAACCAACTCATTGTGAGCTTCCTGGCCTGTGCTTTTTCAGTCCAAAGCTTTTTGCTGGAAACAAAAATGAAGGTTGAGTTGAAGAGGCATAAGTAAAACTAAAGAATATTTTCAGAAAAACAAACCTCACACCTGTGGAATGAGGAGGTTCTAATCGGGGGAGAAAAAGTGGAAACACCATCAGGGTGAGAGCGATGTGAGAGCCGAAAGCCTCATAAGAGTTAGTTTAACTATTATAGAGTAAAAGTGCATCAAACTCATCTTTTCACAGAGCTCAGCGTTCATTTTTGGGCCAACAGGTAATAACAGCTGTAATCTGTAATGTTTTACCAGGTGGAAATAAAAAAAAAATAGCCTAGGGTTCATAAAAAACTTTTAAAGGTGTAAGACAAGAACAAAAACATTAAAAAAAGGCATGAGTTTTTTTTCCCATCTGTGTTTCGACACTTCGCTCCCTCAGAAGCGTGTCATGATCTCATCCTTATCGATGTGAGCTCCGATAGCCGTCTGAGAGTGAGGAGAGACGAGGCAGCGGTTTTGGTGCCAAACAGCTGCAGGAATGCAGAGGATGGGCACCGAGGAAGCTGCTTTCTGACTGGTAGCTATCAGGCATTAACACCTTTTCATGCAACAGAGCAATTTATATGTCAGGACGTTTAACATGTTTATGTGGCGTGGCGGAATGTGTGGAGGCGGACAGACGAAACAACCTGTGCTCCTCGTGGAGCTTCAGAGTCACGCGAACACAGTGAAAACCTGCAGCAGATCCTCAGTTTGTTTATCGGGAACAAAACACTCCAGGTCAAATGTTAAAATGGACTCTGACGTTTCTATTTTAAAGTGCCTATGACATCAAATTTTTTGTAATACATATGAATGCATTTTTGGAAAGATGTTATTCACAAAATATTGCAAAAGGAATTTCATGTCACTGAGATGAACAGTTGTTGAGATTTTTGCCTGTAAAGTAACAGGAAGTGATGTCGAAGGGGAATGTCTGGATGTGAATAAAGCAGTGCTACAACAACAAACAACACAGACTGTRGAGAACAATTTGATGTTTCTTAAGATTATTTTGAGTCACTACCAGAGAGAGATGAAGAAAAGTCAGAGTTCAAATAGTATTGTTTCRATAAACAAAGACCAGGGAGCTAGAGTTCCCCTTTGATGTCACTTCCTTTTTCAATTTGGCTGAAYCAAGTTCAAAAGAAAATATGCCAGTTAAGGGACAAAATGGGTAAAATGGTGTTTATTGTGCCAACTTTCTTAAATATTAGTATGTTTTCTTTGACTTTTTGCATTTGAAGAATATGCATGTCACAGGCACTTTAATGCTCAATATGTTCAGTACAGTGCAATATAACCACGACCTCATGAGCAAAGTGTTCAAACATGAAGGGGCGTCTGAGCAAGTTCACCAAAAACATAATAAAATACAAAAATAAAAATAAAAATTTGCCAAATAATTGTAAAAGTTCTTAATATCTGTCCTTTTATAGATAAACATTTTTCCTGCTTCACATCCGATACAYTGTAAAGCAGTTATTTCTTTCACAGCAACAGTAAACTATCACGCTTTTATGACTAAACCATCTGGGTCAGATRCCACTGACATCATAGTTTTGACCTTTACATGACAGTAATTTTAGAGTGAAAGTTATTTTCATTGAACATCTCACTGTGTAAATAYGGTCGTTATGTGTTGCACTGCCCAGATTTAGATTTCCACTTGTACGGCAGCCAGGCTTGTTCATYCTAATTGGCAAAGAACACTGCTCGTAACTGGAATCAGTGAACAGTGTTTACTGAGCTTCCATCAGCCGTCATTCAGAGACGTGGCTTCGTTTCTAAAATGATCAACTTTCTGCATCAGTTTGCTCAGAAAGCGCTGATTGAATCTGTTCTTCTTCACCCCAGGAGAGACGTTCAGCTCACTCGTGTCTGGTTTCCTCATTATATGGAGATTTTGTGGCGAAGCTTGTTCAACTTTCCTCTTGTAGTAAAACATGAAAACACACATCCTCTTCTCACTTCTATATCTGCTTGACTTTTGGCACCAACGTTTTATTTTATTTCACTCAACCGGGACTGAGAAAAAGGCAAAAAAAAAAAATTCCAATCGTTTTATAGGTTTCCTGTTTGAAAAAAGGTGAAAACTGTGGGGGGGATTTTAGCAGAAGCCTTCCTCTTTGGCATTGGTTCCTCCTCCTTTCACTTCTGTTCAAAGCAGAGCAGCACACACGCTCGTGTACATTTTTGTCTTGTATGGATGAGGTCACATCACTCATTAGAGGTGCTCCAGAGTGTTTCCTTTTGACTTGTGTTGCTGGGATAAAATGCTTGGAGCTTGAAGAAGAAAGATTTGTTTGGGGGAAAAAAAGGAGACTCTTATTTCAGGTGGGATTTTCTGCAGCTTGTGGAGCAGCTCTAGTAAGTTTTGAATCGACTTTGATTCGGAGACATGTTTTCAATAAAGCTGATTTTGTCCTTTGAGCGGTTGGTAAAGTTGCACAGTCTTCCTGTGTTGGTTGTTCTAATTTGCTTCACTTTGCAATGCAAAAAAAGTTCACTTTGAATGATGCATTAGAAATGTCACTGGAAGTGTATGAGCAGGAGAAGCGGCTGCTTTGCATGCTTTTTGTTGGAGCCGGAGATGAGAGCAGGGCATGATCTGCATAGAAAGAAGCTGAGAGAAAAGACCACCGCTCGGTGAGGGGCTGTTTGTAACACTTTCACTCGCTGTTTGTGTTTTCTGTCCGCTCAGCGGGGGGTGAAACGGTAGGAGTGTTTTGAGGTTGTGAAGTAGATTTTTGCCATGATTCACCAGATTATACCAATCTGTTTAGTCGGTCTAATTTTTGTTTAATGTTGAAGTATTTGATCATTAGTCATGTACCTCTAGAACAATGTTTAGGTATATTAAATTTTTGACCATCAAAGAAATAAGGTTTTCGGAACTGTTTCTTGAGTGAAAAAAAACTGACATCAAAACAATGTTTGAATTTGTAAAAATAAAAAAAAAGGAAGAGTCTGATAATTATCTAAGAGTTATTTGTTTTTTGTTCTCTTCACACTTTCAGACTGAAGAGGTTGCTTGAAAACGAAAAAGCCTACCAAGTCCGGAAAGAGAAGGAGCACTCCAAACGTCTGGCCAAGGTGCGAGAGGAACTGGTCAAACTCAAGTCCTTCGCCTTGATGTTGGTCAATGAGCGCCAGCAGCACCTGGAGCAGATGGACCAGCAGAACCAGCGGGTCCAGGAGCTCAGCGCGCAGCTCCAGCAGCGGGACCAGGCTTTGAATGAAGCCAGGGAGAGCGCTCAGGAGGATGCCCGCCGGGTGCAGAGTCTTGAGGCCAAGGTCAAGGAGAAATCCAGCAAAMTCGCCCAACAACATGAAGAAATGAGCACCAAGCTGTCCAGTCGGGAGCTCCAAAATCGACAACTTAACGCTGAAATTTTGGAGCTCGCCCACAGCGTAGAGGAGCTGGAGCAAAGCAACAGAGCTTTGAAGAAGTCTGAGGAAGAAATGCAGGAGTTAAGAGAGAAGATCAGCAAAGGGGAGTGTGGCAGCTCTAACCTGATTACTGAACTGGACAATCTGCGGAAGCGGGTGCTTGAGATGGAGGGAAAGGATGAGGAGATTACCAAGACAGAAAATCAATGTAAGGAGCTAAGAAAGAGGCTAGAAGAGGAGAATAACAAGAGTAAAGACCTCAGGCTGGACGTAGAGAGGCTCCACAAAAGGATGATGGAGTTAGAGAAGCTTGAGGAAGCATTCAGTGTTAGCAAAGCTGAGTGCGCACAGTTGCAAACTGCTCTAGAACGAGAAAAAGTCCTGACCAAGGAGCTTTCAGATGAAGTGATAGCTCTTAAGATCCGTATGAAAGAGCTCGAGTCTTCTGAAATCAAGTTGGAAAAGTCCGAGTTAAGCCTCAAAGATGACCTGAGGAAGCTCAAGTCTCTGACTGTTGCTTTGATGGACGAGCGAAAGACACTGATGGAAACTGTGAAGTCAGATGAAAAGAAAAAAGACGAACTGAGCGAGACGGTCAAACTTGAGCAGGCCAGAGTTATGGATGTGACTGAGAAACTGATAGAGGAGAGCAAAAAGCTCCTGAAACTAAAATCTGAAATGGAAACCAAAGTGGAGGCTTTAACGGCTGAAAAAGGGGAGCTCAGTGCTAAGCTAGCTTATGAAACCGATAAAACAGAGGATCTCAACTTTAAGATAAGCCAAATGAAAAAGAAGCTGGATGGATTTGAGCAAGCGGAAAAGCTGTCTGTGAGGAATTCAGTGATTTGTGATCTGGGACGAATGTCTGACCCCAATGGGAAGGAAGACAACAAAGTTAAAGAGCTGACGTTTGAAATCGAGCACCTGAAAAACCGTCTGAAACAACTTGAAGTGGTGGAGGGAGATCTGATGAAGACAGAAGATCAGTATGACGTGTTGGAGAAAAAATTCATGACCGAAAAGGAAAAAGCAAATGTCCTTTCCCAGCAGGTGGAGGAAATGAAGAACCAGATATTACGGAACAAAGCCATTGAGAAAGGAGAAGAGGAAAGCCGGGAGGAAGATCTCAGACAGCGATGCAAGAGAGAAGAAGCCAAAACCAGAGAGCTACAAGCCGATGTGGTAGCTTTAAAGGAGAAGATCCACGATCTGATGCACAAAGAAGACCAGCTTTCTCAGCTCCAAGTGGACTACTCCATCCTACAACAGAGGTTCTTGGAGGAGGAAGAAAGGGCTAAGAACATGGGAACTGAGGTTTTCCATCTCACCAAAGAGCTAGAAATAGCAAAGCGTCAAAGTCGGGCACTACGACCCAGCCTAAATGGCAGGAGAATGGTGGATGTAGCTGTCACATCCACTGGAGTACAGACAGAGCCATCATCTGCTGAACCAGCAGAGGAGGATACACCGGCTGGCTTCATCAGAAAGTCCGTTCAAGAAGAGAATCATATTATGAATAACATCAGACAGAAATGTCTGAAGAAGCCCACTGAAAAAAGCAGCACTGCTGATCGCTGCCCTTCGACCGGCAGCGACTTTGGAATTAAAAAATCCTGGATTCCCTGGATGAGGAAAAAGGAGACCACTCCTCAGGAGAGCGGTCTAGTGAAACCTCTAAACATCAATGGGGAACATTTGMCTTCTAAACTGATCGCACCTCAAACCCAAGGGCAACCTTTACACATCCGAGTGACACCAGATCACCAAAACAACATTGCCACCCTTGAAATCAGCAGCCCGACCGCTGAGGATGTTTTCTCCAACTCGGCCCCCCTCAGCCCCAACCCATCTCAGCCGAAATCCAGGATCACAATCATTCCCACCTRCTCTGTTCCAACCACTCAAAGAAAAACACCCACTGGACTTCAGCGTCCCGAACGAGCTAAGTCTCCGGTCACAATCACGACAGTATCCAGGGCTAAGTCTCCAGAAAGCAGTCGACTCTCCTCRTCTACCTCAGGAAGACCGCTGTCTCCGGTTTCTGTTATGACAATCAGCAAAGCTGTGGTGCCTGAGACTTCCCGAGAACCTCAGGAGATGACCATGGGACGGGCTGTGTTCAAGGTTACCCCTGAGAAGCAGATGGTCCCAATATCTGTCCGTAAGTGCCAAAACAATGGCAGCATCATCACCACTACAGATGATAACAAGATTCACATCCACCTGGGCAACAGCAACCCCCCAAAGATGGTGGTCAGACCAGTGGCTAGTGTAACAGAAAACAAAGARCTGACCCTATCAACTGGGACAGTTTTGCGCTCTCCACGCCAAATCACAACCACTACAACCAGGAGCATGCAGACAAAAGTGTCAAGCAGCATCACCATATCTACTGTTACATCTACAACTCCAAGACCCACCCAAAGCACGGTAAGCTCTGGCTCCATTATCTTAGTCTTTTTAAGATTTCTGTCTTTGTCTCCAATTAAATGACATCTTCCAGTGGTTCAAAACGAATAACTTTTTTTCCCTCAACCTTGGATTTTTCAGTTTTATAAAAAGCTTTTTTTCTAAAMTTGTCAAATCACAGTTGCATTTGATGTTTCATATGATAAATTACTATTATCTCACGTAGCTAGAAATAGGAAGTGAGATAACAGTGTTTAGTGTTACAGTGGCACTCACTTTGTGAATGAGACGGATGGCATGATTGAAATGCTCCCGTGGGTGGGCCGCAGAGCAGCAGAGCTAACGATGCAGCATTTTGCCACCCTGTCAAAAGTTATGTTGCCATTTATATTTCATTGTGTGCATTCACAAACAGGACATGTACGGTTCAGTGCACTCAAAAAAATACAGCCGACACCCATTGACCCCATAGCCTGGATAAAGCAAAAGAATTATAGTTGCATACTGTTTTATGAAAAGTAAGATTTTTTTTCTTTATGCAGCTTCTGTTTTTTTTCCCTCTGAAGTTGAAATCTCTTTTTTGTCAGATTGGGCATGAACCCCAGCCAACTCGCACGGGTCTTACCCGTATCCCAATGTCCAAGAGCCTGAAGGCCGGAAAAGCAGCTTCCCCGGGGATCTCAAGTGGACTGAAGCTGGAGTCTCGGACTGAGAGTCAGTCTGTGAGGATAGAAGTCAAAAAATCCACTGTGAATAGCAGTTCTATACAAAATGGAGGGAAAGCTTGACTGACAACCATTCATCCATTTTCTGTACCTGCTTGACCMTTGATTCAGTGTCATGTGGAGCACAGTCCATCACACAGTTTACCTGATGTAATATACTATAAGCAGCAAAAATCTAATCGTTGTGGTGCTTCACAAAGAGCAATACAAAGCTGTATGCTCTGATTCAACTCAGCAAAAAACTCAAAGGCATTTTAGTAATGTAAAAAACCAGCCATTTATTTTTATGCTTGTGAATTGTTTTAATGTTTGTTCACACATTTTTGCATTTTAAATGAAAATACTTTGTTTTTACAGAAAGTTTTGCGGGGTACTTTTGGGTTAAATATTATAGGCATATATAAATATATCTGATTGTGATGCTAACATTTTGTTGTTGTTTTGATTGTTACACAAATAAGTTTTCTGAATATTTTGTAAAACCAATCGTCTCTGATAAGTTATGCAATTGTGTTTTTGTATGCTTGTGCTGTAAATAGATTTTACAGATAAATATTTTAAATAAATCTTATGTCTACAGATGGTCTAACTTATTTAACGTGTAGTATACGAACAATAAAACATGCAGTAATGGTTGTTTTGCAAACAAACCAGCCGCTTAAAGGACTCGTCTTCTATGTACATTTTCTTTACTTCTGTCAAAGCAATTAACAAATATATAAATTTAAAATATCACAAAGTTCAATTAAACCAAAGAAAATCCACACCATTATTCACAGAGTTTTATTCTGTTTTTGCTAATTTTGGGGGGGAAAAATAATCAAAAATAAAGAAAACCAAACTATGAAGACAGAAAGGTTTAAAATCCAGAGCCGTAAAGGGCAGCACTGTAAATAATATAATTTAATTTAAAGTAATTTCGTATTTCTCAGCTTCAGCTTGCCAGCATTAGGCCCTGTTTACACAACACTGGTTTCTGGAAATGCTGGAGTTTTTTAAAAATGTTTATTGGGGCAAATAAACAAACAAAAATCAGCCATTTACATGGAACTGTTGAAGTAATGTACCAGGCAAGGTTGGGAATGGGACACAGTAGAGTTTTACTGTTCTGAAATTATTATATTTTGAATCCAAACAGCTGATATATATGTTGTGTTTGGTGAAAAATGTCCACAGAAAAGGAGGGGCAAAAAACAAATTTGTGTTTTTATCAGGCAACCCGGTTGCCAGTCTCACTCATGCACTGATCATGCAGCAGCTGCATTCTTACAATTACGTCTGAACCTAATGAATAAACTATCAAACCTGGGATGGTTTTTAGTTTTGCTCCAACAAGATGCAAAATGTGAGTAACGCAAAAAAAAAAAAAAAAAAAAAAAAA